TCACGCTGACGAAACAGAACGGATACTGAATAGGTTCGTATTTCCTGACACGCGTCATACTTGATCCGCCCAAACCACTTTATCCACTTCGTTATTAGTCAAATCAGAGAACTGACCAATAGGAAGCGGAAGGTGGATATCCGCTTCGCTATTGGTCAATTTGCTTTAATTCTTTTAACCAATGGCGAAGTGGAGGAAATGCAAGTGGAACATGTGGTGTGCAATTTTTGGGCGATGTTTTATATGATCGAGACAATTTTAGGACTTCCTCCCGTGACAAGAGGAATCGTAGACACAAAGCATTGCGTGAAGTAGCTTCTACCCTAAGTGTTCCAACAACTCGATCTATCCCTAGCACCGTTGGCTAAAACAAATTCTCTTTTCCCTCAAACTGTCCAAAGCTCACTTTTCAGACCGGTATCGTTGAGGTCATTCTTCCTCAGCGAACCCCATCCGTTCAACAAAAACGATGGTGGGACCATTTTACCATACATCGTAAGCCAGAAGAGTACGAAGATGCTCATGACGAAGTGCGACATCTATGGAAAACGCAGGTAAATTCATCCTACTCATTATTTAATTTTCTCCAGATTTGATTTTTTTTGCACTGAGAAAGGCTCTGCAGGTCATCAAATCTTCGCAAAGTGTTCGTTAATTACAAAAGTGTTGATTTTTGAAAAAGAACTAGAAATCTAATTATTTACAAACACCCTCGGATCTAACATTGGCTGCTGAAGGCGAGGCCTGAAGGATTGAAGATTGATCTCTCGGGGAGAGATGAAGACTGCGCCGAGGGGGCGCGAGCGGTCGCCTTACAGCCGCCAATCCGTTTGAGTCAAAAGGTAATCAAGTAGCCACAGTAAATTACAATACAAATAATTTACCTTTTTTATTTGAATATACCGGTACAAACACAGTTCTCTGGGGCGCAGGAAACTTAGCACGACGGTATAAGTCCTGTAAATCTAGAAAAACTTTTCAAAGCATTTTTACACTTCGAAATTTTTCCAGACCGACTTTTTCCTATGTTCGTTAGGACTTATTGTTGGTATTGGCAATATGTTACGATTTCCTGGCAAGATTTGTGAATATGGAGGTAAATGGAAGGAGGTTGAGGCCTAGATAAAGTGTATTTTTTGTTTCAGCAATATTTTTCGTCCCATATTTTTTCTGTCTGGTCTTTATCGGCTTCCCTATGCTGTACTTGCACTTATGTATAGGGCAATACGCTGGACAAACGGCCGATGTCGCATTCAGACGCCTGATGCCTGTCTCTTGTGGTTAGCTGGACAGGGCCTTAGGGCACGACCCTC